TATGACTATGCTACATATTTATGAAATAGACATATCTTTATAATTAAAGTTAATATTTGATATTTTAAGATGCCATATATTTAAATAGATGAAAATTATTTTGAACATAACATATTAAAATAATTTTGTTCGAAAAAATTTTGGCCCCCCCAAAGAAAAAATCCTAGCTCCGTCACTGAATAAGACCATCATAACTCTGATTCCTAAAATTGAATCCCCCACTCTTGTGTTTCAATTCAGACCCATAAATTTATGTAATGTGGTGTATAGAGTCGTTGCTAAAGTCTTGTCAAACAGGTTGCAACCTTTGCTTAAACACTGCATAAGTCCCAACCAATCAGCCTTTATATCTGGAAGACAAATCATGGATAATATTATGATTGCTCATGAATTTATATATTTCTTAAGTAGGAAAAGAAATGGATCTAATGCTTATATGGCTTTAAAACTTGTTATGTCAAAAGCCTATGATAGAGTTGAGTGGTCTTTTGTGACTAGCATCATGGAGAAAATGGGTTTTCATACGAAATGGATTCACTGGATTTTCAAATGCATGTCCTCAGTGTCTTATTCTTTTAACATTAATAGGGAGAGAAGAGGTTATCTCAAGCCTATTAGAAGGATTAGACAAGGGGATCCTTGTCCCCTTATCTGTTCTTACTGGTGTCTGATGCACTTTCAAACCTTTTCAGAAAGGCTATGTAGGGTCACAGAATTTTTGGTCTTAAAATTGCCCCTTCTAGTCTAGCTGTTGCCATCTGTTTTTTTGCAAATGATACTCTCATTTTTTGTAAGGCTACTGTAAACTAAGAAAAAGGGAGAGAAACTACTCTTCTTCATATTTTTGGACTACACAATATACAAATATATATACACAGTGTAACCTAATTTAGGTCCTAAAATCATGCTAATCTAAATCAATCTACTACCTAATTAATATATGATACTATAATCATATGATACCTAATTAATATATGATACTATAATCATATAATACTATAATCAAATCTTTCCTAATATTTACAATATCAAATCTTTCCATAATATCATATCACATATCTTCAACACTCCCCTCAAGATGGAGCATAAATGTTAATCATGCCCATCTTGCCACAAATATAATCAATTCTCGGACAATTTAGAGGTTTAGTGAAAATATCAGCTAACTGTTCTCCAGTTCTTACATGACTGGTTGAGATCAAGTTTTGCTGGATTTTTTCACGAACAAAGTAACAATCAATTTCGATATGCTTTGTTCTCTCCACTTGAAAAATAGTTTTGCATCTTCCCTTAGCCAAACCTTCTTTTCTTCCCCATCAACGGGTGGGTCATTAGTGAGATGATCATCTCTATCGATGCTGCGCAGATATTTCCGAATAATTTTACTCCAATCCAAAAAAGTTTTTCCACTCAATTTGTGTTTAGTAATTTTTAATGTTGTAGGAATAACATCAGAAATTACTGTTTTCATCTCTCTACTATTACCTTTCATATCTGCCATTATAATTCACATAAGAAAGACCTAAAAGTGACTCAATAGGATCACGTCAAAAGATAAACTGATAACAGAGCCTGAAACTCTGATACCATGAAAACTAAGAAAACGGGAGAGAAAATACTCTTTTTCATATCTTTGGACTACACAATATACAAATATATATACACAAGTGTAACCTAATTTAGATCCTAAAATCATGCTAATCTAAATCAATCTACCTAATTAATATATGATACTATAATCAAATCTTTCCTAATATTTACAATATCAAATCTTTCCATAATATCAGATCACATATCTTCAACAGCTACCAAGGAGGAAGCAAGTGCAGTCATGTAGATATTGAAAAGGTATGGGAAAGTGTCTGGACAGGTTATTAATATAGAAAAATCTTCTATCTTTTTCAGCAAGAACACAGGGGAGGGCTGCAGGAGTGAGATACTGAGCATACTAGGGGGATGAATCAGGTTAGACAAAGCAAATATTTGGGCTTACCTATGGTAATTGAGAGGATAAAGAGATAAGTGTTTAATTATATCAGGGAAAAAATGTCAAGCAAGCTAAGAGGGCGGAAAGAAAAATTTCTAAGTAATGCTGGAAAGAAAGTTCTTCTGAAATCAGTGGTATTAGCAATGCCTAGTTATGCGATGGTTTGTGGCAAATTGCCAAAGACTCTGTGTAAGGATACATGTAAAGAGATGGCAAATTTTTGGTGGAGAAGCAATGAGGATAAAAAGAAGATTCACTGGCTTGGATGGAAGAAAATGTCTGAAATTAAAGGTAAAGGGGGGTTGGCATTCAAGGATTTGTTAGACTTCAATACAGCTATGCTAGCTAAATAGCTGTGGAGACAATAACCAAGGCAAATCTCGTGGCGAGTAAGGATTTTAGGGGAAAGTATTTTAGAGGGGAGTCCATTTGGACCATGAGACAGAAAAGTGGGATTCATGAATGTGGAGAAACATTTTAAGTGCAAGGGACTTGTTAGAGAGAGGGGTTAGAAAAAGAGTAGGGGATGGGCAAACCATTAATATTTGGAAGGACAGGTAGATTAACGATCAAGGGGCTGGAAAGGTTAGAACTAGGAAATCACCAAACTGTAAGGTGAGTAAAGTTTCTGAGTTGATTTATGATAGGAAGTGGAATGCCGAAATACTAAGCTCAATGTTTACTGCAGAGGACTGTAGGAGGATCAAAAACATTCCTCTCAGTATAATGGGGTGTAAAGATAGGCTTGTGTGGCCATATTCTGCAACAGGAGAGTATAGTGTCAAAACTGGATATATGCTTGCTAGAGAGATGCAGAAGGAGAAGATGAAAGTTCAACAAAAGAGGAGGAGTGTAGTAAAAGAGGTGGTGATGCTGGAGTTTGGAAATTCATCTAGAATCTGAACCTTAAACACAAGCACTTTATCTAGAAATGTCTACATGGTATATTGCCCGTAAATGCAGTGGTTAGAAGCAAATTTGAAAAGGGGGATGATAGATGTGTTTGCTGTGGGGAGAGCACTAAAACATTAGAGCATATGTTTTTCTTTTGTGAACAGGCAGAACAGATTTGGAAAGCACCCCCAATTCAGTGGAATGATTTAAATGAGTTCAGAAACAATTTTTTTATGGTGGAATGGCATAATGAAGGCAAAAAGTAGAACTGAGGGGTTAGACCACCTGGCTCTGACTATAAACATATTATGGCAAATATGGAAGTCAAGGAACCAGATGCAGTTTCAAGGAGAAAGGAAATGCCTTGGGAAAACCAACAAGAAAGCAGTAAAGGAATGGCTGGAATACAGTGAGATATGCTCAAAGGACAAGGGGACAGAAATGTCAGGAAATGATCAAGTAAAGGGAAGGAATGAAGGGACCAGACCACCTAAAGGTTTTACCTGTGTGAACACTGATGCTGCACTGGATATTCAGAAGGGGAGAGCAAGTTGGGGCAGTTGATAGGAATGAAAATGGTGACTTGGTAGGAGACTGGGCTGGAAGTGTTTGAGAAAGCAAATGCTATAAGAAATGCTCTCAGGAAGCCAATGCAGAGGGGATGGAGACGCATAATTATACAATCTGATTGCAAGAATCTGGTTGAGAAGCTGGTTGAAGAAAACAATGGGGAACCGATGATTGGCGCATTACTGGAAAACATTTCCAATCCAATCTGAGCAAGGAATTTAGCAGTTGCCAATTTTCTTTCATTAGAAGGGATGAAAATGTAGTTAGTCAGAACTTGGCAAAATTTGCCACAACATTAATTGGTGATTTAGATTGGAAAGAATCTTTTCTTGCTTGACTAAGCAGTTTATCCATGAAAGATGTAGGAACAGTGGCTTCAACTGTGTAATTGTTTTTTTTTCTGAGTTTTTATCAATAAAGTGCTGTTATTGTTTGAAAAAAAAAACCATCTTATGCTCTAAAACAATTGTTGGTGCATGCATTTACATAATAGATACTATGTTAAGTGTGATTTAAGTATAATAACAATGGCATTGAGTAAAAAAAATTTTAAATGTAGAACCAAATTCTTCGATAAGAATATTTGTTTATCTTTTGTCCCAAATTGTTTTATAAATAGGTCGATAAGAATATCTCTTTATCTTTTGCCCCAAACTGATTTACAAATAAGTTGTGATACGACGTTTTAGGAATTGTACCTTGCAGGAACACCTGTTACTCTTTCTTAATACTAGACCATTTGTTTTCGAAGAGGGATAATTGAAGCATTGAAATGCTCTATATGGCTTGGTTGGATAGTGCTTTCCAATCCCTTTTTCTATCTCTTTAACTATCTTTTTTTTTTTAATTTCGAATATATCACATCACAAAAAGTACTTGCTACATTGATTGTTTCAAAAACAATTTTCCAAATAATCACCTATCTGAAATGTAACTAATTTGAAAGCATTTGCAAGAAGGGGCTGATCTCGAATACTGAAAAAGTTGCAAAATGAATCAATTGAATTTTAAGGGAAGTTTTACTTCTTCTTCACCATATTCGTTCCCCCCTTCCTCCATTCTGATTTCCCTCCTTAAGTGTTGAATTGTGTGGTCTCAATCTTGACGGAATTTATTTCCATTCGTCCATTTTTTCTGATGACAATTGGTGATGTGTCTTCATTTTCAGTGATGAATGAAATGCACAACTACTATGAGTCTATGACCTGTTCGCGGAACTCCACCTAATTGTCAGTTCCAAGCAGCAGCAACTCAAAACCAAATGGACAAAATTCAGGCCTGTTTGGCAAACAAGTTTTTAGCTAAATTTGTCTACTACAAGTTTTTTAAAAACTTTAGCTACAATAATCTCAAAAAACTCATCAAAATTTTTAAACTATACATTTCAAAATATCCAAAAATTTACACACTTCAAAAATTTTTCCTACAACTTTTACAGTAAGTTACAGTAAAGTTTCTTCACTGGCTAAGAAAATTGTGTTTTAACTTGTTATTAAGAAAGATTAAGATCACCGTAGACTTCCATTTTCCAATCAAAGAGACCGCAAAAGACAGAGGTAGAGACTCAAAATAAAGTAATAACTATTTCTTTTACAAATACACGTTTTATTGTAGAACCTATCACACTTCAACTATCCAACACTATGTATACCTGTACAGAAAACACGTGCTTTTTTTTTTTTTAATGAAACTACAAATTACTTAATAACTATAACTATCAGAAATACCTCTTTTCTCCCAGTTAGTTAACTGAAATATCTGTACACAGAAAACCCGCAAATTACTGGAGACCCCAAGGCATCAGCTTTGACAATGCTGCAAGGACAAGATTAAATTTCAGCCTTCTTGCTGGAACAAATTGTATTCTGAGCTAGACTCGTTCTTTGCAACCTGCATGTCATTAATGCGGCCTTGATTAGCTAAATGAATTAAAGAAGCATTTTCCTTAGTTTCATTTGCTTACATAAACAGGAAACAATCAAATGAAATTTATACCTCAGCCACCAAAAAAAAAAAAAAAGGCACTGAGTGAACATCCTACGGTTCAGACAGGCAGCACACTGATGCTATCAGTATACAATTGTAACCATTGTAAACCTGAAACTGTTTCCTACAAGTAACCATTCAGGAGAAGATCCCCTTTAGCTCGTCACCACAATAAGCAACAACTGCCAGGGTGCAGATTTCCAACAAAATACTTATGGAAAGAGATTTTACCATGCTGGTTCAAGAAAAATTAATTTCTAGAGTCTGATTCTTATGAAGATCAAGCCTGAATGATAAATAGAATGAGAAAAATGAATATTTCAAGCATGCTGCAGAAAGTGCTAGTAAGCCTAAATTCTAAGGCTAAACCACCTTTTGTATCAGGTATGAATTGTCATCAAGCTAAGAAAGGATACTTGCCTAGCTAAACACAACCCACACATTCTATTCATTGTCTAATAAAACATGAACATTCTATAGAAAAGGAATGTGTTTCAAAAACTGAACTGTTTCCCTAAATATATTACGTCAAGTGCAACTCAAATAAGTAATTGCCTCAAAATCCTATGCTCTGTTTGGATGGGAGTGTTTTTCAAAAACTAGTTTTTCAAATACAATAAAAATTTTTAAAAAGTACTCTAAAAGGTAATCTAAAAATTAGTTTAAAATTTTAAAAAATATCTCAAAATATATTCTAGAAATTCTTCTACTCTTAAATATCCCAAAATATTTTCTAAAAATATTCCAAAATATACTCTAAAAACTCTGCTACAGCAAAATTTTTCAAAAACAGCTAAAGAAATCCTAGTTCTTGCAACTCAAATAAGTAACTGCCTCAAAATCCTACTTCTTCCAAGTTCTTGCTAAAGAATCTTCATGTGAAAGTTGCTGTAAAATTCTTACTGTGTCTCAACGTCAATAACAACTTTTTTGAGTGTGTTTCTTTCAGTTTTTACTTGAAGAGCCACCCGAAGAATTATGGATACAGCAGTTCACCTAGAGGTATTCTGCTGTAATTGCATTACATAACCTTAGTGCTTTAATTAGAATCTTTTTCACATATCCAAAACCAAAAATTAAAAATTAAAAAACCTATAGCATGGACTAACAGGTTAGAGATTGTAACTCACGCAATTTTAGAATGAAAAAGATGAAGCTTCAGCAAATGAAAACCAACCTCAGAAGTGCGTGAAGATCCCACAGGAAGAACTGAAACAAGACTGGTCCAAAGAACAGGATCATTTAAGGAATCAATAGAGTTGTAGTTGGTCACAAGTGGAGCAGTTAGTAAGGGAGTTAGTGGGTAAACATTTCTTGGAACGGGTAATCCTCCAGTCATCCCAAGTCCAGCTCCAACTCTCTCATTTCCACCATCATGACTACATTTTTCAACCCCCTTGCCGTAGTCCTTTTTGTTAATAACATTTTTATCTTCATTTTCATCATTCTCATCTATTGCTTTCTTCTTCAATCCTTTTTCTTGTAAGCTCTTAAATGCTGCGGATTGTGACAAAATGCTCATAGCAGACACAGCACCTTTTCGGTGTTTTCCTTCTTGAGGCACACCCAATCGTGGCATCTCATAGGTTCAGTGGGCTTAGCTGTCAGTTCTACAGATTTAAGTTCACTGCTCATGTCTTCACCAGGGCGATATGATGTTTCCTCTGATGATTTAGCGTGTGGATCTACTTGACGTGGTTTATTGGTCCCCCACCACTTGATATAAGTGGTCAAATCAAACTTCCTATCAATGCAAAAGCCACCAATATATTCATTTTCTGCTGTTGCATCATCAGCTGCACCTGATAGAGGAGAGGAATGCCAATAATTTGGTAACCAAACCACAAACTAAAACCTAAGAAGTTTAAGTAGGCAGAACACTATGAAACCTATAGATCTGTAGAAGATTTTTTCCTAGTAACCCGAAAATTTTTTTCCAATGTCTAAATTTAGTCACCATATCGAATGCTGGTGAAGTAATCAGCCCCAGAAAACTGACCAAATTGTGGATCCCATCGGCTGCATACACAAACAAACAATAAAACAGAAGGAAAACAACATTAAAAACACATCCAAACATGAGTAAATACACACACACAAATATATATTATATACACCACTGAGAAACCAATGATGGCAATCTCTGATAACATAAGCTTTCAGACAATACATTTGCCTCAAGCTAAAAAACAGTAACTTATGGCTCACATAATACTAAATAAAAGCCAATGTCAAAAATCTAGTTTATGCATTTGTACCTTGAAAGAGGACGATATTTGGAGACTCCTCTTGAGAAGCCACTACTCTTTCTGCAGAAAAGCATGTCATAAGGAGCATGTCATAAGGAACATTACAATTATTCTAGTATAACATATACAAGGTATACAAACCTTCGAAGGGATGCGAGATAGTCTTCTCTTGAGAAATTTTGCATCTCTTCAAGGTCCCTTGTATAGTCAGTAACCTATACAGCATATGAATAGGAATGATTCTCACAAGAATAACTCCAGCAGTACATGATATTGTGCTCTTAAATGAAGGTCTCTAAATGTACACTATCAGATTTGACAGGAAAAGAAGAGTAAAGCTATTCTTCCTTTTCTTTTGGGAGATGGGGATTTTCCTTTTACATTCATTTATAAGAAAACTAGTCCGTGGCGTCATACTGGAAAATTAATGAGTGTTCCAGGGCCCCAGTATTTCAAGGCAGCAAGATCATATGCTCTGGCTGCTGCCTCCTCATCATCATATGCACCTATAGGCATCATATTTGTTAGTTAATAGAGGTGGATATCACATTCAGTTTGAACTTTAAAAAGACAAAGACTACCAGTGAAACTGCATACCCAGGTAAACTGCCCATGAGAATCAATCACCAACCAGTATCCATATTTCCATGCAACAGAAGAGTTGGACAAAAGGTCAGGTCAGAATTTAAATGAGAGGTTCAGATAGTGATTTTTTAAATGCTAATAGAAACAAATCTACATGTACATCTATATAGATAAGCAGAAAATAAAAACCTTGCTTTCCCTTTTTATTTTGGTTTTGATTCCAGGTGCTTTTATCCCAAAGATGAGCTTCATATCGTCCTGTCCATCTATGCCTATGAGAATAACAAAGACAAGCTCACAAATGTAAGAATATAAATAAAGAAACACAATCAACTGATTCAAGGATCTTCAGAACAGAAAAGCTAAGAGAGAACAAAATCTACAATTGCACCTGCAGAGCTTTTGCAGACTGTCATGAGGATTCTAACTTTTAGGATGATTACAGCAGTATTATTCAATGTAAAGTTTATTACTTGAGATAAGTTTTGCTGAACAATCCAATATCAGCATATTTTGATTTTTAACATCCAAAACCTACATGTTCCTCTATTGAAGATTTTAGATTAATTCATAATGCCATCATGATTGGAAAAAATCCACGTACATGCACCACATAACAAAGACAAAAACTAAATATATTAGCTTTCAGGAAAAGTTGACCGTTAAGTGTAGAATTTCATCCATAAGCCAAGGTTTGAAACAGTATGAGCTCAAAATTTTTTTTTTTTTGGTTTTTTTTGGGGGGGGGGGGGGGGGGGGGGGGGGAATGCATATGCAATAAGGAGATCAACTCCACCCATCCACTTCCCACTGAATCTCTCCAGATAGTGCAGAAAAGGCGTGAAGCTACTAGATTTTGTCAACTCACAATCATCTTAGACATGAATTAATGATTCGCAATATGCAAGATCCACTCTGTATTTTAAATAGAAAAAATTGATTATCAAATGCAGTGCCAAGGATTGTACCAACAGAGTGCTCACTGAATAAGATGCTACTGATGTTGCATCGTGGAAATGGCAACAGTATTGCTTTTCAAACATATAGAAAATTAAAATGGCATATGAGGTTTAACAGCTTGTGACAACCCTGGTTATCTGGTCTACTTTAAGGTGTGGTAACCACAAATGCACATGCTTCAAACTGCCCAACATCTTCAAGGATGCCCATTTACTAAATTGTGTATAATAAACCCCTCCAAGATGGGCAAGACTTTACACTAACAAAAAGACGTATATTCCCCACCCTCACATCTCAGTCATAGGCAACGGCAAAAACAAGTTATGGAAGAAGCCAACTGCTATCTTAACAGATGCTGAGCATCCACTGTGGCCTTTTGGCTGTGGCTATTGTAAAAGCAATTTCTGCAAATAGATTGTGTTCATTGAACCAGCTGTAGATCCCATGGAAAATGCAATACTCAAATGCAAGATATATGCATATGCTCACTGCCATGGTATTCTATATGTGATTCAAACAACTTGTTCACATTCCTATTTAATAAAGTTACAAAAACATCCTTAGTATCCTAAACTCAACAAAAGATATCAAAGATCATTAAAAGACTTGTAGCCAACAGTAGATGCTGGAAGCTACAAGAAACGAAAATGGATAGCTCCCTTTGACCAAAGCTTTTATTAAAGAGTATATTCCAATATTAGGTTGCCAACAAGCTGTGCCTTTATTGTCCACATAAAACATGTTGTATCATAAAATCATTGTACAACATTATGAGATTACTTCATTCAATACTAAATTGAATTATAAAACTGTTTGTAGACTTTTGCTAAGGCTGAATCACATGCTTCATCCCTCTATAGATTCATGTCATATCTCCAACTACAAATCCTACCAAAAGATTCCACAATCCAAACTTTATCATTGTTTTAATGGACTAAATGGAGAGATGAAAAAGGAGAGCCAGAAAAAACTAGAAATGAGATAGAGTATACGGGCCATTGAGGTACTATTGAGAGATGAGAAAGAAGAACCAGACAAAGATATAAAATTTATAATCCAAATTCTTATCTGGACCTCATGAAAATGAGATGATATGTGGGTTACTGAAGTTCTCTTTTTAATTTAGGTGTCAAAGAACTTAACTAAGTTTAAAAGATAATGGATCACTTGCACCAAATTTATGTTTTTTCAATTATAGTAGTATTATTGAATATGAATTTGTTGTCCATTTACTTCATACTCCATTAAGATACAGATGTATGGAAACAAAAAGTTGGCATTCACACCTACAGCTAAAGTAAGGAATTCATGGTTTCTTTTTGATGTTAATAAAGAGAGGAGATGAAAGTTTCCTTCCTTAAAGTAGGAGTTACACAAGATTGCTTCGTCATTTTTTCTTTAACTTAAAATACCTGCTTGAGTCAGATCACCCCATGATTGGCGCCCAATTGTTTTCTAACAATGCTTAATTTCGAGCTACCTTCTCTATGTGAAATGCATCTCAAAAAGCTAAACAACAGCGCATACTACTCATCAGGAAATAGACATACAAACTTAACACAGAGATTGATATCATTTTCAGCTCATCCTTAGCCAAAGAATAGTTACAACAAGGTAAAGAACTGCACTATCATTGACTTAGTTGGCTACTAACTACTTATGTCATTAATACTACCAGTAAGTTTCTGAAATCTACAAAATCAAATCTTAACCAACTCGAATAATTTTAGTTAACACGACAAATTCCTATTCCCCACCCCCCCCCCCCACCAAAAAAATTGTCTAACTGTCACTTTTTTTTATTTTACTAATAGAAAGATTTCCAGAGACTTTAGTAGCTTCCTAGAATAAAAATAACCCTTTTTTATACTTCTTATAATCAAACAAACTTAACAATAAGCTCTACAAATTTAAATATAAACCTACAGCGAAAAAATCAATAAAAACTAGCATTTCCCTAGATACAGATATAGAACACACACCGTCATGGAGTAACTCAACACTAGTTTATACTACATAGTACCTAGTCACGCCGCGATAAATAGAGCTACGTTTGCCGGCTGTGCAAGGGGGCATTTTGCTGATGCGTTCTTTAGCAGTACATCCTCTCTCTTTCTTAGCTTTCTTCAGCCCTCTATACATTGCCAGCTCATCGCCGGCGCCGCCTCCTCCCGGTATGGGTCCCACCATCACTGCACAGTAGCAGCAGCACTACAGCTTCAGACGTTTCCCCTCCTCCTCCTCCGCCGCCGCTGCTGCTGCATCCGCCGGTTTCCACTTTTCCAGGAGGCGGTCGAGAGGAAGACGACGCCATTAAATAATTTAGCTCAAAACAAAAACAAGCCCCTAAATAAGGAGAAAACAGATCTAGAAAAGAGGAGAGTATGATTTGATTGTTTTGGAGCGGAGGGACAGCAGAATCCCGCAAGCTAATCTAAATCTGCCGTGGGATTTAAAATTATTCTTTGGTGGTTTGGAATTTTGCGGGGAGTGAGTCCAACGGCTATGACGCAAGGGTTTGAAAGTACTTCTGTTTTTGGGGAGAACTGTGGCACGTTCTATCAGCCTCCACCTGTCTGTTACGGCAGTGACAGTTTCAAATGGTAAATGGGCTAGACGAGTTGACAAAGTTTTTTTTTTTTGTGACACGATCATTTTTATTTTACACCTATATTAAAGAGAAAGGATGGATCTAAAAAATTCAATAGAGAGTTCTAAAAGGATTGAACTGCCATCAAACCAAACGCGTACCTCTACATTTGCTAGTGAATTTTTTGAGGAAATTCTCTTGATAACTAACTACTCTAATCGTACTTAGGGTGCGTTTAATAAAATTGAGTCTAAAAATTGAAATCTGAAGTTTAAATCTATTAAATTATTGAATTGTTAAGTATTAAATCTAATACATTTGAGCACATATTACACTCAGTGATAAGTAAATAGTTTATTACTTAATTTCGAAACTAAATGTTGAATTAAATTATTAAATAGAGCCTTAGCTAGACTTAGTTAGATAAAGTTGAAATTCCTTGGCCGCGGGGGTATCATATAAATGTTGAATACAAGGGGTGGGGTGGTTTTCCTATGAGATCATTATTGTGGGAGAAAAGAGAAGAACTATACACAAAAGTCATAAACATTTATAGTAGTTAAGAAAGATTTTTAACTTTTAGTGGAGGTGGGGTCCCTACGGGCCCTCTACTGCCTCGAACAATGATGACATCAAGTAACTCTAATATAACAAACATGTAAGGTCGCGTGGCTAGTATTTATATGTATTGACATTTTTGTTGTAAAAATATATATTTTTTTTCAAACGATAATTATTATATAATATATCTATCATATAAATTACAAGGAAGAGAGAGCCTAAAGAGATTGTATTTGAAGTTAACAGGTACACAAACCTTACTAGAATTGTTATATAACGTATTTAAGAATTAACTTATGTAAAAGTATACATCCATTTTGCTATTAGTTATATAACGTATTTAAGAATTGTTTTATCGTACGAAAAAAATTGTACTAACAACTGTGCTCACCCCATTTTGAGTACCAATAAACAGTTACAATTTTTTGTGTTGCAATGAATCTTTTCACGTGATCTTGACATGCCAATTTTAATCTAAAGCTGAGAAGATTGGCAAGAAAGATAAGTTCAAGAATTGACATCAAAATCATTATGGCACCAAGAATTACAGCTGTAACGATTCATTTCATGTACTTGTCTGATTGAAATTGGTACTTGAGGTTAGGCAAACAACCGTAATAAAAGGTTAACTTGACACTAGACAATGATGACTTTCACCGACATGGTACTGGGAATGGATACCTTTATGGTGGGAACGGGTTGACCGTGCCTATGGTAGGAAGGCCTCCAGAGGCCGACACGTGTTGCAGGTGGATGGATTGCAGACGGACACGTTTAGCCGTGGAATCGCGCGTGGAGATGCAACGTTAACATGTTGTCCGCTGCTGCAAGTTAACAGCAGAGGTTCGTACAGCCGTTTGCGTTTTCCAACGCAGTTTGGTGGGCCGGGGCAGTGTAATTGCAACTCAGAACCACTGCTCATTTATACATTTGCAAATCTACCCGTTAACAAGGGGAAAATGCTGCCAAAGCCCTGGGCAAAAAATTATGCGTAAAGAACGAACCGAAGTTTGAACAAATAATAAATGTAAACCGCGCATGCGAGCGGGATAATAACTTGGAAGAAGGAAAAGCAGAGGAGAGGTATCCGTACTACTCCCTCCATCGTACTTTGATAGTCCAATTTTGCTCTTGCGTCTGTTCCAAATTCTAGTACATTTTTCAATTGAATTGAAAAATTTAGTTGTATTTAAATTTTCGTAAAATAGCCTTATTAAATGTAAGTTGTTGTTACTATATACCCACTTTATATAATGAGAGTTGATTCCTTTTTTACCATTAATTGAAGTTTCCATAAAGTTGTAATGTAATTAATGTGATGGTATTTTAGGAAAAAAGTTACTTAAATTGCTTATGCGAACAAAATTAACTGCTTTTTCTTAGACCGTGCGAAAAACAAATTTGAACAGTAAATGTGGGACGGAGGGTGTAGTTTCGAGACAACGGCTCCAAACACTACCTTTATGGTAGGAAACCTTTGAGCAATCGTAACGTAGGCAGACCCGTAACAGGTGTATTTGTAAAATGAGGAGTTGACGCTCTGTTATCTTGCAGTGGTAACACCCGTGCAGATAAACAAAACAAGACGTATGCGGATGCAGGCCTTTTTCCCCTCCAATTGCTGCGTTTAATGTGCAATGTTTCCCCACTGCTTTAATACATTTTTAAAAATTGTGAAACTATAGTTTTGTAATAAAATTAATAATAACATACCAACAACAAATACCCATGACATAAATATACTAAGCAATTACAAAAATATTTATGATTATGCACATGTAGTTTAGAATTTGCTCCCAAACACCGTGGAACTAAATTTTTCATTAAATTTGAAGACAGTACGGAAAAAAGACTGATTAATGAAAATACGATGTTAAAAAATTTTGAATTCACCGTCACAAAACATGAATTGCTGGGCAATACCAAAAAGCAGGGTACTTTAATCATATAATGAAGCAAAGTCATAAATTTGAAGGCAAAGTTTTCATTAATAAAAATGCCAGCTCTTCACCGCTTTGTTATCAGGCGTCCGATGTATGAGGAAAGTGGCAATAATTAATGTGGTAATTTATTCGGTTTATATAAGTTTTAAAATTCTTTTTGAGTTTCGACAAAAAAAAAATGAAAAATGTGTAAGACAAAGCACAAAAGTCAATTTGATTGGTGTGTTAGGGGAAAGAATAGCAGATATGTAATGTACCTGTATTTGACGTTCAAAATACTGCAGTGATGTTTGTGAAAAACACCGTAAAAAACATGTAATTATAATGGAACCAATTTTGATTATTTAAAATACCCAATATGTGAATGTGTTTTAACTGATATCCATTGATATGCTAAAGCATCGTTATCCCACGAAATACCAGCACCTTAACACCCATTTTTTCCATAAACAAATTTATTGATGACATAAAATAAAACTATACCCATTTTCCAATAAATGGGTATTTCTTTGAAATACCCAGTGTATTATTGGAAAACGGTTTTATTTCTATTTCATCCAATTAATAAATTTATTTATGGGAAAATGGATAGTATGTTGTTGTAATAGATAAAGCCATAAAGAGGTGGGGTTGTATTCGAAAACAAGTACATTAAAATTTAATCGGGTTAAAGAAGTTGTATTCGGAATAATGGGTTTTAAAGAGATGAAATTTGATGAAAAAATGATACTTTACGATATCAATGAATAACAGTTGAAACACATTCACAGACTTGGTATTTCAAATCACAGTATTCATTATTTAAAATACCAAATTTGGGAAAGTATTTGAACTGTTATCCAATGGTTTCGTAAAATAATATTTTTGGTGAAATAGCAGTTCTTGAACAGCTCTTTTGCCACAAACAAAATAATGTATCGGAATAAAAAAATCCGTCATCCAATAAAACACCAGCTCTTTATGGCTTTTATGTATTACAAGAATAGAGTACCCATTTTCCCATAAAACAGCAGCTTTTTATGGCTTTTATCTATTACAAGAACAGAGTACCCATTTTGTTACATAAAAAAAGTTATTTAATGGATGAAATAAAAAAAACCCATTTTGTAAGACAAAGCACAAAAGTCAATTTGATTGGTGTGTTAGGGGAAAGAATATCAGATATGTAATGTACCTGTATTTGACGTTCAAAATACTGCAGTGATGTTTGTGAAAAACACCGTAAAAAACATGTAATTATAATGGAACCAATTTTGATTATTTAAAATACCCAATATGTGAATGTGTTTTAACTGATATCCATTGATATGCTAAAGCATCGTTATCCACAAAATACCAGCACCTTAACACCCATTTTTTCCATAAACAAATTTATTGATGACATAAAATAAAACTATACCCATTTTCCAATAAATGGGTATTTTAAAGAAATACCCAGTGTATTATTGGAAAACGGTTTTATTTCTATTTCATCCAATAAATAAATTTGTTTATGGGAAAATGGATAGTATGTTGTTGTAATAGATAAAGCCATAAAGAGGTGGGGTTGTATTCGAAAACAAGTACATTAAAATTTAATCGGGTTAAAGAAGTTGTATTCGGAATAATGGGTTTTAAAGAGATGAAATTTGATGAAAAAATGATACTTTACGATATCAATGAATAATAGTTGAAACACATTCACAGACTTGGTATTTCAAATCACAGTATTCATTATTTAAAATACCAAATTTGGGAAAGTATTTGAACTGTTATCCAATGGTTTCGTAAAATAATATTTTTGGTGAAATAGCAGTTCTTGAACAGCTCTTTTGCCACAAACAAAATAATTATCGGAATAAAAAAATGTACATTTACATGTATAAGTGTATATTATTAAAAACATATAAATTATAAATCAATATTATAAAAATGTATAAATTAATATATTATAAATATATATTAATATTATGTACAAATGTATTAATATAATTAATATAAATGTATACATGCATTAATATTATGTATAAAGGTAAAATTAATATTTTGTATATTAATGTAAATGTATAAATGTATTATATTAGATATTATACATAATATAAATGTCTATTATAAATATA